CCTACAAAGATTCAGCACAATAATACATTTTACATTCATTTGGCAAAACGAAAACAAAAACAATACTTATATTTTCATCTCTCATAATTCATCAATCAAACTTTTAACATAAAAGTATCTTTAAAAATATGTCTGGCAATTGATACATTGTAGACCTACTCTGACCTTTTATTTGAATAAGAAGAATAAGAATACATTTAAACATGTGCTCTTTTGTTTAAGAACATGTTGTGGTGAACGTCTTAATGTATCCAATAATATCATAATTAGAATAAGACAGGTCAGGCAGGGATCTATACAACCATATCCACATTTACATACAATGGGAAAAAAATCTGCGGGAGGAAAAGAAAATCAAAATATTTTACATGTATTGATTATAATATACTTAGAAAGAGCTTTTATGTATTTATGGAACATATTAAAAATACAATTCTAGATCTGTCTTTTGCGGAACTAATCCATAAAGGAATTGGGAGAAATCTCCCATAATAAGTATATGAGGAAATCCTATTAGATCGTAATACCACATTCGGATGTAATGGGAGAATAACATAAAAGCGGAATTCATCCATATCTTTGTTGTTTAAGAACTCTGATCGGAAGTTTAAAATTCAATAAATTTTATAAATTTTAATAACTTAATATTCGGTTCCCGCTATTTTAAAATGACAAAAATACGATTATTTATTTACTCCGTATTGTGATACGTTCTTGATTATTTAAACTGCACACAAAGGTTAACATTCAAAGAGAAAATCACATCACGCAAGCCCCACCGTTGTTGCATATTTTAATATGCGTAACGATAAAAACTCTTTTTGACAGACCCTGATCTCAGTAAAGTCAGACAATACAAATATGTTTTTTCTCTTTTTAAGTGTGTCTGCATCAATTAAGATAACTTTATCAAAACAAACCATATTGTAGGAATATGTGTATACTTTAAGATAAATAGAATTCAGGCTCATTCGTTTGTTTAATAATGAAAATAATTTGACGTTCGAAACTGTAATCTAGTAAAACAAAAATGATTAAATTTCAATTGAAATGATACATACATAAATTCATATCATCCCATACCATGTCATCTGCGTTTAACACCAGAATGGCATTGTGTAACTTCTTACTTAATATTATGCCAGAAATCTATCCTTCTTAACAAATTAATATGAAATGACACTTAACGAAATTAAAATAACTCTGTACTGCTGCCGTGCTGTTTGTAGATAATATATCGTCTTTACCAAGGGTAAGCAACTTTGGTCATGTGACCACACAAGTCAACGTACACGGCCAAAATAGCTCGGCTGAGGTAAGTTTTTTAGTGATTATTTTTCTGTCCGGCCGATTTAAATTATGCTACATAGCCTACCGACCGCGACAGTTCCGATGCTTTTTAAAAATGAATTTAATTTCTTCTAACGTATTGTATTTTATGAGAGAACATTCAAACAATGTTTGCAAATTGTCGATGGCAACGTACACACTATTGTGTAAAAGTGTTGATGAAAAATTAAAAAACGATACGCATGTCAGTTCTAAGTAAAATTTAAGGTCTTAAAATATATAAGAGAATGTTTTAATGAAAAAATAACTGGTTTCCTGCTGTCATTGTTTGTATTCATTTAAAAAATGACCAACTTATAGAAATGTCAACGTTCACATACAGTCGAGAAAATGTCAACACTCCCCATTTAGTTTGATAGTGGTCTGAACATGAGGCTATGTAGCATAATTTAAATCGGCCGGACAGAAACATAATCACTAAAAAACTTACCTCTATTTTGGCCGCTTACGTTGACTTTTGCTTACCCACGGTGGCCTTATTTCCATATTTTTACAGTTCTTCACAATATATTGAAATATAAACTAGATGTATAAGCCACTTGAAATGGCTCATTCGAAACTATGATAACATTAAATATATAACCAACTGTTATATATAAACAATTTTGATTTTCATTTAAAAGATATTACATTAAACTTCACTTATAGCGAACTTCCGGTTATAGGGAACAATTTATTTTGGCCCGAATTTTGGCCTTTTTTATTTAATATAAAAATATATGGTTATAGCGAACACGGTTATAAGGAATTATCGCTTATAAGGAACTAATTTCTTAGTCCCAATTTAGTTAATAGTACAGAAAATTACACTTTTATAACGAAATCCAAAATATTGGCTATCCGTAAATTTTCAACTTTAGTTTTCATTCGCACGGATTAAAACTAGGGCGAATGTACCGTTTATCGTTGTATGTACTTCAATACATCTATTCAAATGAATTTGTATAGTTTTCTACTTTGGATGTTTTTAACATGAGCTCTTTTCACCAAGATAAAACTGTTATTTATTTATTTTCTTCAATAGTTTTGCTCGAGTAAAATAATTATAATAATTTATAATCGGTTTTCAACAAAATCATGCATGCTTGCAAGCATGATCCATTGCAAACTGCAAAGTACGCTTGATTTAAATGAAAAGAAATCTATATCTTACATTAGTAAAGTCACCCTTAAATTATAATAGAAGATATTCAATATAAAAGGAAGGAAAAATCGAAAATCTTGTTTATTCTCAATCATGGAAAGAAAACGAAAATAGTTTAGAAACAAAATATTATATTTTATGTGAAATTGAGATAAGGAGTAAAACTAAAACTGAAATAGCAATCAAATTCCAAAAAGTACGCTCTCGGGTAGTGTGTCTAAAATATAAATAAATGACTAATATTTCTATTTCTTAATCTAATTCCCTTCAAAAATGGCGGACAATTGTAAACAATCAGTTCGTTATATGTAAATCTGTTCGCTATAAAAACTCCTAATACAACGAACTAATTCGCTATATGCTTACAAGGAACTCCGGATATAAGGAACAGGTTTTGAATGTCCCAGTGAGTTCGTTATAAGCGGAGTTTACTGTATTAAGGTAAGATACCTGTAATGGGTATATTTAGGAACCTGATCAAGCTTAATATTTTATCAAAGTACTCTATTTATCTTATTCAATTGCAACTTTTCAAAGACATTTACCATCAAGTTTTCAAATTATAAGCATTTTTATGTGAATACCCCCTCCCACTAAATTGCCCCCCAAAAAGTGGGGGTAGGGGTAAGGAATATATATGAAAAAAAAATTTTGCAGCTTTTACCTACAATGTAAGTGTTTATTATGTTTCAAGACATATATTATGATAACAAAATAACAATAAACTGTTCACAAAATGTATTGATTTCAGCCAATTGACTAAAACCTCATCCAAGATTTCTGAAACTTAAAAAAAAACACATAAAAATAGATATAAAATAAGAATTATTATTATTATTTTTTTTAATATTTGGATTGGGGCAAGCAAATTACTTCTATAACTTTTAATACTCTTCCATAGCAATCAAAATATGAAAATTTCATGACCTCTTTCCACATTACTTTTTTGACAAAAATGTGTTTTACAAAATGATGTAAAAAAATTTCGGAAACAAAAATGTACAGCATAGCTGTTACCTGTCTCACTTATCTCTTGGAAAACAGCAGATTTTGTAAAATATGATTATTTATGTGTTTTCTAAACAGAGGCTATCTTAATAAATATACAGTCATTTAAATGAAATCTTCAAATATTGTTTCATAATATTTGTCATGTTCACATTCTTAAAAATTTCATTGCTAAACTTCCAAAATCTTACAGGAAAATTATTGAAATTTATTACAAGAAAAACTATTTCATCACAAGAAACTACTTGAATTCATCGCATCCTCTCAGTAAAATATTGAAATAATATTTAAATAATTTAACTTCCAAAATATCAGAACATAATAACACAAAAGCTGATATATAGAGGATATTGAAGGAGTGTTCAATGTTCAATACTGAATTTAGTACTGGCGAGCAAATTATTATTACATTCAACGAAATGAATCAATGCAGTAACGAACCTACATAAATATTATATTCTATGTATCACATGCACAAAATAAAGACTGTTTGAAGTAAAAAATAATAATTCTCCATTGATGTGCCTTTATTGTAACTCTAACATTTAGGGCGTCTTTACTCTATGTTTGTATAACGGAAATGACATCAGATCTAAATATATGCACATTCGTACAATACCATTTTTATGAAGTCACAACATTGGCACTAGTATATTATAAAATTGCATACATCACATTCTCAAAATCTTGATACTGTTATAGATTTACTTTTAACACGAACATCTTCAACATGAACATTATGATGTCATGATTTGATGACATCAGGAAGTTCCTGATCCAGTTCTGGTTGCTCATAACGGACGAAACTTCCATTTAACAATAAATTTAATTGACCTCATCATGTAAAAAGCAATAAAATGACTAAACAGTCACAGAGTCACAGAATAAACATAAATATTGTTTACCGGTACTTCACATGTTAGATAAAATTATACTAGTATCAACGGGTGTGTGTATTCTACTCATTAGCATCATAGCTTTTATACTAAAACTCATGGCTATGCCACCAATAAAAATGTTGCATCTGACGTTAACTTTATGAAATACATTTTGATCTTACATGCAAATCCAGGATCATCCCTTGTATTTATTTATTTTATTATCTAAACTAAAGATTCATGTACATTTATTAACATGTTCACTATGATAATGTACAGTCATATAACCATCATCAGTTAATTTTATGCCAGTTATTCGTTGAGGTTCTACTGCTATTGGCATTGGAGGAATTAAATATTGATTAAATGAAGCAGCAGTCTTTATTTCTTTAGCTGCAATCTGTGTTATATGTGGCATCTGGCATCTGTGAACCTCGAACTGCAATAAATATATTGATATTGTACTATAAAGTGACAAAAGATGTACCCATATAGGCTAGCATATTGTAATGGTGAAAACTGTTACCCTGTCTGCACAATTACTTTATGCATTAGAAAATAAATTATAGGATTACTAAATTACATACTGTTACTCTCCAGAAATTTAGCATGAAATTGGAATAATGATTATTTCAATACTTTACACAGTTTAGAAATGTGACATATGACTTTTATCTCTTTTCTATATTCAAAATCTGGTTTTAGGAAAGCAAATGTCAACTCCTTTAGATCTGTAGTTTCCAAATCAAATGATATAAATGTAGGATTTTCTGTCTTTACTGGCTTGAACTTTCCCTTAGAAATGCATCTGGTAAGGTCTGTATATCTGGGTCTGCTGTATGACCAATACCTTAAATTGTCACATCATATTATATAGATAGCTTTTATACACAGTGCTTGGAAGTGAAAGGAAAAGCTTGCAAATAATATAAGGTTCTGAAGGGTTTCAAGATCCTTATCCATGACTTAAACATCTAGCACCTTGTATCTTACAGTTATTACCATACAAAATTAAGTGTAGCATGTGTATTACTTAGGCTTATTATAATGATCACAATGAGAGTCTTATTTTATTTTTTTCTGTAGAAGAAAAATGCTTCTGAATCTAGTGCTGCATGCAAATAAATGATAAACACACCTTCAAACATAAAAAACAAGAGCTGTCACAGAAAGTGACAAAGGCCCCCCAAGGATTCTAGTTATTAACCACCTATATTACATGTTAAGTGTGGTGGTAAAAAATGACAAAGTGTGAACCCCAGCAGTGACCTTTAAGCGAGACAAAGAAACCTGTGTCTTGTTCACAACACATAGTTCATCTATGGTGATTTTATTTTTTAAAATAAAAATTGAAACTTTAATGTATATGAAAGTTACAGAGCGGACACTGTATATAACATAAACATTGAAAAAGTTTGAACCTCAGCAGTCCCTGTGGTGGAAAATGTTTAACATGAATGATGGCACATGTATTGAAAAGACTATAAATATATTTTATACACTAAATGCGTTTAACTCAGAAGTGATCAATTATTTTTCGTATTAAGGAGTAAAACAATTTTGACAATAGTCTACAATGGCTTGTTATTTAAATGGCAAAAATATTTTTTAGATACATATACTTAATTCTCAATTAAAGAGATGTAAAAATGTTTTGTGGTAACAAGTTAATTACATACTCCATTTCATTATTTGTAAGCCTCTTCAGCTGACCGTCTCTGTGATTTTGCTCAGACAGCTTCTATCACTTCACCAGCCCTTCTCTCAATTTCCTTAAGATTTTCTAGGCTTATCAGCAAGATCAAGAGTAGCAAAGAAATTGTTAACTTTGACAGCCCCACCAATGCTGTCAATCATTGCTGTAAATATGAAAGAAAAAAAAGCAGTTACAATCATTGTTCAAATTAGATGGTGTATGTTGCATAAACCTTAAATGATAATTTTTTAAAATACGTAATTACCTTTTTAACTGTTAAGTAATGCTTGAAATTTTTACTTTCTAGCACATGAATAAGATTTTATAAATATTAAAATCACTGAGTTCACTAATATGAGCCTACTGTCATGTGTGAAGTAGAGTATTCTAAGACATTAAAGCTGCATATCTCCAGTTTAGCTGACGAGAAAATTAAAATTGAGAGAGAAGTGTTACATATATTGTATTTTTACATTGGAAGTAGCCAGTCGTACAGGCCCGTACTGCTAGCCAAAATTTCTAGCTGTGAGTCACAGATGACTAGCATATATGCACTGTTTAGGCTAGCCGTGCAGCATTTTTTCAATGAAAAATAAATGCAATGCTTGCACTTCATTTTGTTAATACAGTCCAAAGATGTAGTTGTATCATTGTATGACACTTTGCTACTAAATAATGTTTACTTTGATGATTATGTGATGTTTAATTATATTTGAATATATGTATTTTGTGACCATGTGCATTTTGTACACATCTTATGTGAATAAACTATCTATCTATCTATCTAGTATCTTATTAAATTTTAAGCCAGTTACTCACATTTCTTATGACATTTTCAGCCAGTTACTTAATTGCACTTCTTATTATCGATACATTTTCAGAAATAATGAACATATATACATATTTCTATTAATTGATTTTAATGATGTTATTCGGCAATTTATATTATGGCGAGATATCGACAGAATTAAATTTACCTATAATAAAACAGTTTTTGTGAGCTGGTGTAAATTCTGTGATATTTACAAGTTACAATTATTAAAATGAGCCGTGTCACGACAAAACCAACATAATGGGTTTGCGACCAGCATGGATCCAGACTGGCCTGTGCATCCGCGCAGTATGATCAGGATTCATGCTGTTCGCTATCAGTTTGTCTACTTTTTATAGGGGTTGTAAGCGAACAGCATGGATCCTGATCAGACTGTGCGGATGCGCAGGCTGTTCTGAATCCATGCTGGTCGCAAACCCATTATGTTGGGTTTGTCGCGACACAGCTCAAATTACTTTGTCATTATCTTATGCCTCGGGGCCTGGCTGATTAACATTCTAAAATATCTAAATTTGTTTCAAATAAAAAATAATAATTACCAAATCCAAGCTTTGTGTTTATTTCAAAGCAGGACACCCCTTCGATTTGTTCTAGTGTGTTGTTCCATATGAAACCAAATTTACAGCTCCTCACTCTAAATTCGAACACATAACGTACAGATAGCCACCCAAGCCATTTTGAAGCTCCCCCACAATGTTGTCGCTTGTGAGAATAAAGGTCCAAGACGACATTCCTTGCAGTGAGCTAAATTTCTAACTAAATCGTCGAACTCAATCACCCGTCTATCTTTTCTCCACCCACCTGCCGATCCCTTCTGTCGGTGTTCATAAATTGGACAATTACCAATTTTGCACTTACAAGTGTTCAATACGTGAGGGTTATTATAGTCCGATTAAAGTAAAATTTAACGTCAAACAAATTGCAACACAAGCTTTTTTTACATTTTTAGTTTGTTATACACATCATATAAAACAGGTAAAAACCCTAAAAAAATCTAACCATGGCAAACCAGTAAAAAAAGCAATTCAAATTTTGCATTTGTTTCGAGTTTTTATACGGCTCTGCATGTACACCATACACAGAGTTTTATACTGTAACCGGTGTCGAGGTAAACAAAAGTTATGAGGCCGCGCGATTTAAATATATCAAAATTTACACATTTACTACTTGGAGTTGGATTTAGAAGCTGTTGTGCAAAGTATGTATAAATTTTTATATTATATTTACTTGTTTTTACAACTTTTAGCCTCGTACATGCCCAAATATCAAATACAATGAATGAATTGTAATGGGTTTTCGCGTGTATATAAATCAGCGATTATCGTTTAAAACAGTAAAGATTTTGCAATTGTCATGAGATATAAATGATCATTAGCCTATATATTAACATTCCTTTTAATAATAAGATGTTTATGAAGTAGGAAAAATAAAAATAAACAAATTTAAGTTTATCCTGGGTAGCTTCAAAATGTAACTACGGAAGCGTGTTTGGGTAAACAATGCACGAAATCTAGAATAAATTGTTATTAATTTTAGAATCATAAATGCATGATATTTATTAACAGATCATTAGTTTTTGGTATAAAAATGTCATTGTGTATGATAGCTACTATGTTTTCATTTTAATAACATTTGGAAGATAAGAATTGAAAGGTAATACTGAGTGTGATACGAGTATATTATCTTTTTTACATACTAGTGATATATGAGATGTCAGGGGAGTCAAAAACAGATACATAATTTACAATGATTATGTAATTTCAAAATTGTGATTCCAAAAAAGGGAGAAAACTTATTTTACAGTCACAGTTCAAATTGTTGTTGAGCTCCATGGTTTAACCAGAGACATAGATAACATGTTATCTGTGTCTCTGGTTTAACTAAATTGTGCTACAAATATTGATGAGGAGCTATATTCGGAGTTAACTGTTGCTTTGCCAGTGGTAATATATCCCCATTTTGAGTGTTAAATTCGTTGTACAATTTTACAAACACATGAGATAAGATAGTTTCAATACAAACGTAATGAATCAGAGATGTTTGTGCTAATATAGATATCTGTATGTCCATCTACACCGTCTGTCTTTCTGTTTAAAAACATGTCTATCTGCCTTTCTGTCCGTCTGGCTCTCTGTTTTTTGTCTTTACCAAAAAATGAAATTTGATAGTTGTAAAACTTGATTCTGAGATACTGTTAACATCTGCCTATCTTTAATAGGGTTTGTCTATCTGTTTTGTTTTCCTTTCCTTATGCTTTTTCGTCCTATATTTATGAAAACTACAGCATATTGTCTGTGAATCATATTGAAAGTATTGGCCTAAACGAACAGATAACTCAATTATATGAAGACAGTGATTGATAAATAGTTCGGGTGCTTTTTTTGATAAGCCAAAAAATGAAAGCCCTGTCATACCTACAACCATGTGACCACAGGGAAATGCCTCCTTTTATTTAATTCTGTTTCTCTCTCGTCAATAACAGTTACAGATGTAATTTAAATATCTGGTAAAAAAGTGATCCCTCAGATGCATTTAAAAGCAACTTTACATGAAAATTGCAGAGCCGGTTTGATTGAGTCTGTATATGACGGATAATGAAAAGGTGCAACATCCCTCATGCCCCCTAGCACCGGATTGAGCGGTACTAAATTCTCAACACTTTAAAGTGCTGGATTCAATGATCCCGAAAGACCAGAAAAATATAACAATACTGAAGTGAAGTACGGGACAACTTTTTACGGTTGCCACACAGCACTTCACATCTATAAATTTCTGGTAAAATAGGTGATCCCTCGGAAGCCTTAAAAACAGCAAATTTACTGAAAATTACAGGCATGGTTTGATTGAGTCTGTGATCATGAAAGCTGTATTTGACGTTGAACATACGTTTTGCTCTATAGTGCACCCAAATTTATGCATTTCTCTGAAGAGGACTCCACTTTTTGGGTAAAATTTATTTGATGAATAGTATTATTTTTTTAAGACCAGACAATGTTTTTTTTTGTAATCTCTTTTTAATTCCATTTTAGCTGATTGGATGTAAAGCCAAAATGATAGAAAATGAGTATTGTTATCATTACGACGAGAAGAGAAAACTGCAAGAGACCATAATATGATTAGAAGTTTCAGAAACAAGAAAAAAATGTTGAACGTATATTATTTAAGACAATAACTGTGTAAGTTGCAGAAAGAACATAAATTTCGTGGCGATGTTGTCAGTAAAGTTGAAACCTTCGACTTTCATGTTTAAGTAAAACAAGACACTTTAAGCGTGAAGTAAGGTCCTAGGAAGAATCAAAGGCGTAAATGGCCTCCTGACAGCTTAAAATACATACCACCATTGTTGTAACAGTAACAATCATTTCAAGACGTTCTTTTTATGAAAAGTGCAAACACACGACTTGTAAATCTAGTGTGAAAAGACCATCGAAAACAGCAGGAGAAAGCTTTTTAACCACTATGCAATACTTTGAAAGTTATTGAAAGGATAACTTTTTTTTTTTAATGTGACTAGGTGCAGTCGAACTAATGAGCATTATGAGAGATATAGAGATGTGGAGATCACTTAAATATCTCTTTATATAATAAGGAAGAAAACATAAATAGGTTCAACAAGATGTGATGGCATTCAATTTCAAAGGTGAAATATTTTTTAAAGCAACCTAAATGATACATGACATAAAATTGGGCATTTTGAACATATAAAATTCTAATTTTGAAACATTACTAAAGACATAACTACAGCTCATTTTCAGCATTTATTCTTCACTAACTTAATTGTTGTGCAATATAGATAGTTGGACCATCCTGGCAATGATAGATGAATTTTTCTACTAAATCATGTTAAAATTGATAGTTTGCATAACATTTATGGGTAATATTTGATGGATGAGACTTTGGTAACATACAAATATGTAAATGACACAGAAAAGACTAAATAATGAGTTACTTTCAGAAATTGAGTATATTACCAGATGCATTGTTTGTTGTAACTAAGTTTGTTTTCTTTATTTTTTATAAATTATTCAAAAATAGTTCAAAAATGCTAGAATAATGTCAATGTAATTGAATGTAACGTATGTTACATTTTGCTTAAGTGATTATGTTTCTCTATTATTTATATAAGCTTATGTGATATAAATATTACTTGAACCTCTTTTCAATTGTAAATATTAGGTATTTTTAAGATAATTGCAATTTGAAACGTTTTTGCATTATTGTTATGAGTGGGTGGGGTAATAATCTTGTGTGTCACAAGTGAATAAATAATCAAAAAAGAGGCCAAACCTGTTATATTCATTGCAAATTCTATTTTTATGAACACCAATACATGCTGGCTAAAAAACTAACAATCTATAACAGAGAAAGACAAGACAGTCGCCACATATTAGACATATTACGATATTATTTTTTTTTTTTTTTTTTTTTTTTTTTTTTTTTTTTCTTTATCGAACTTTTATTTTCAAAATTCTAGGCCTCTGAGAGGCATCAGAACACAACATATTAAACATGAACAAATGACGTAATACAAATTTGCTATATAACATGAACAAATGACATGATACAGATTTGTTATGACTAGATAAACAGAAAATTATCATATCAGACTAAATTTGAGAAATATCAGACAAAATTTGAGCAATATCAGACACTGAGCCATTTCTAACACATAGGAAAATTTGCTATATAACATGAACAAATGACCTGATACAAAATTGCTATGACTAGATAAACAGAAAATTATCATATCAGACTAAATTTGAGCAATATCAGACAAAATTTGAGCAATATCAGACACTGAGCCATTTCTAACACATAGGTGATAAAAATACATGTTAGCCTTAAGAAACATTAATATATTATCTACACAATACTATTTACTTTCAAAATGTATACATATATTACACACAACCTCGTTTATCATTTGAAAACATGCATTACTTTCCTGCAATAAACAGCAAGTTTAACAAGCTTGTTTTTGTCTGTACTATTCATTAGCAATGAATATTTCAAAGTATTAGGATTACTAGTATATCTTACTGAAATATATTTACGACGCTCCTGCTTAAAAAGTCACACACAAACAGGTAATGAAATTCATCCCCTAAAGAGTTTGTATTACATAAATGACATGTTCTTTTCATCTCTCGGGATACCAAAGAATCTCCCCTTTTCTATAGGTAATCTATGGTTCGTACATCTGAACTTTAAATAGCATTAGACAAATGGTAAGGCAAAGTATCTAGATAATTTTCAAAAACAAAGGAATCTTTGTACATTCTGTAATTAAGGCTTTTACTGGACTCAGCACAAAACTATGCCATTGTTGTAAATATTGATCTCTCAATCTAGTTTTAACAATGTTCTTGAACAATTGCTGTGAAGAAGGTATATTTATACATCCAGTAATTTGACATGCCCAGAGAGTCCAATAAATTGTGTACATAATTGATCCAAGGTAGTTTTACATTGTTTATCATCACTATAAACAACTTATAAGAAACATTATACAATATATGACATATTTTCTCAGGTTTAGCATTTAAAATTCTATTCCAGTAACATAAAAATATGAGCCTTAACATGAATAGAACAAAGGTAGCACCCCTAGTTCACCATATAGCATACAATTAGGAGTGCTTTGTTTTAACCGAAGAATAAGTTTATAGAATTTTAACTGAAATTGATCTATCAAGTCTAAATTTTTCAATTTCCCCACACTTCACTTCCATATAACAAAATGGGTGCTACCATTGTATCAAACAAATGTATTTGCATACTAATAGGCAGGTTCAGCCTTCTAGACTTTACTATTACAGAGAACATTGCTTTTCTAGCTTGTTGTAAACAAGTATTCTTTTTGTTTTTAGTAAATTTAACCATT